CCGTCTCAAAAAAAAAAAAAAAAAATAGCCATGTGTGGTGGTGTGCAGCTGTAGTGCCAGCACTTGGGGGGGCTGAGATGAGAGGGTCGCTTGAGTCCAGGAGTTTGAGGCTGCAGTGAGCTATGATTGCGCTATTGCACTCCAGCCTGGGCAACAGAATGAGACCCTATCTCTATCTTTTTAAAAAAGAAGAAATTTGAGAGCTTTATGCTGCTTTTTCAGGTTTCTTATTTTCTTTATATAGGAAAAGAGATACAGTATGATTATTATTTACAGTCTGATTTCATGTGTTAATAGTTGTTAAAAAATATAACCCATAGTAAATTGATAATTCATTAGAAGCCTACTTATTTTCAAGTAGGGTTTTATAAAGGTTTATCTAAAATTGATGCTTTTTTTTCTTTTAAGGACATTTGATACGTTAAGGAATCACCCATCCTTTTATGTATTTAATCATCGTGGTCGAGTACTTTTCCGGCCTTCGGATACAACAAATTCTTCAAACCAAGATGCATTGTCCTCTAACACATCATTGAAGTTACGAAAACTCGAATCGCTGCGTCGTTAAGATTTTTACAAATTATAATAATAGGACAGGACACAGAGCTGGAATATTGGAGTTTGGGGTATAAAACACTCCTCCCTGCCCCCCATTAGTATTTATATTGATCTTTCAGACCTACTTTAGAAAAAACCATGGCCCTCATTTATATACTGTTAATCCAATCATTAATGCAGTGTAAGTTATATGTGAAATAAGTCTTTGGTATTTCATATAGGAATGTTTTTTTCATTTAAATCAAATCCACATCTTTTGTAAAAGCCACTGTTTTGAACACATTTCCTTGAAAAATGTTGGTGGTTTTTGTGATTATTTATTTTTTTAGATTTCTTTTGCACTACAGTTTTTGGAATCCTTTTGGAAACACTGTGTGACTGCTGCATTTTGCAGCGTGAATTATGGTAAAATGGTCTTCAATTCTTAACAAATGGACTTCCCTAATGAGACCAAAATGGTGATTTAACAGTTTTTTCTTGTGTCCCCTAAAAAGTGGCTCTGCTTCAGAAGTACTTGCCAGTTTTTAATTTATTTGTGACTTTTCACCCTACTCTGCTCCCATATACCTTCTACCATCGGCTGTCTTGTTTCATCATTTCTCTGAGATTCTGTGTGCAGTGAGCAATTTTTGTGTCAGAAATTCTTTGTCAGAACAAATATATTTAACAAGCTCAACTTGCTGTAAAGCTACTTGTGTTCTCTTAATTTGTCTGTAAAAATTTCCCTAATTGATTATATAGTGTAAGAATAGTTGAAGACTAGTTGAAGACCTTTTGTGATTTCATTATCTTGCCTATGCAGAAGAAAAATCGTTGAGGAAAATTGTCATTAGCCAGTTTAACTGATTCAAACTCTTGTTTATTTCATACTAAACTAGTGAATAAGTGAAATAAAGGAAACTCGTCATTAATCTAAAGACAGAGTTCAAAGGAATAGGGCCAAATATATTCTCAATATTTGGAACTAATGTTTTTAAGGTTTTTAGAAAAATCAGGTCATTTAAGAAATTGTTTTGTAGTTTCTGATTTATAGAGGCTTCAAGTTTTCCATCTTCACTGTATGTTGCTGAAAGTGAGGATGAGGATACACAGTTGATATTTTTAGAAACAGTAATTTTACTTTTAAGGAAATTGGCTAGCTCTTTGAGCTAGAGAGCTGTAGGAAGCTCAACATTCTTTGTAGAGAACGTTGCTTTTGTTGGATTGTACAGGTATAAAAACATTGCTTTTGTTGAATTGTATAGGTGTAAAGGGAATAACTGTATGCAGGTTTGAAAAGGAAATGTGCTTTAGGCACGAGTCATAAGATGCCATTGTACTTGTAGGCATTTTATTTTCCATTAGAAATGAACATCAGCTCTTCTCTTCTGACTGGTAACACATAGCCCCAAAGCACGAGATTATTTTTTCATTGGGTTTTTATTGCTGTTGTTTAGTTTTGGTTTGTTAATGCCAACCCAGTTTGTCTGTGGAACACTGACTCTGCTCTCTAATGAGAACAAAGTTAGAAATCTGCTGATAACCTAAAATAATTTAGAAATGAATTAAAAATGTGAAGTCAGGGGTTAAAGTGATGATGATAAAATAGCATGCAAGAAACAAGCTCCTTCCATCAGACTTGGCTACTGTTTTCTTCTAGTATGATTTGGTTTGGAAGAGCCTCTTATTTCCTTCTCTTTGAGGTATGTCTTCCTTTCTTAATGTGTTTGTAACATTATTGAGATATAATTCACATACCTTACAATTCACCCATTTTAAGGGTACAATTCAGTGGTTTTTAGTGTATTCACAAAGTGGTGTAACTGTGACCACAGTCAATTTTAGAACATTTTGTTACCCCAAAAAGAAACCCTGTACCCTTGAGCAGTCACCTCTCATTTTCTCCCAGTGTCCACCCACCCCCAGCCCCTGGCGACCACTAATCTATATCTCTCTCTGTAGATTTGCCTATTCTGATCGTTTCATATAAATGGAATTCTACAATATTTGGTCTTTTGGGACTGGATTCCCAAATGTCGTTTTCTATTTGGAGTGAGAAAATTCTTCTCATCTTGAGAACTCTTACTGCTGTGAAAGGGAGTGGTTGGTAAAATCAATAGATTTCAGGCAGGAGGGCCAGATACCTAACAGGTTTTTCTCCGTGAATCTTATGCCGAATAGTTTTTCCTCATAACCAAGCATTTATGATGTATTACTACTTAAAATATTGTGGCTAGTCTCTAGAATGGATGTTGAAATCTTTGCCTCCTCAGTCGGGAAGAGTCCTGCTAAAAATCAGGCCAAATGACTTGGCAAATAATTGACAAAGTGTTTTTCAGGTGTGTCTATCTTTGCTAGCAGCTTGTATACCTCAGGCCAGGTGAGCTCCCCAAATTTCTTTTTTCATTTACTCCAGTGAGTTTCTGCTGTCTCTTCAAGTATGTACCATAGGACTTAAAGGTGATTTGGATGCGTTGTAACACTGCTAAATGTACTAAGTACAGAATTTTATTTACAGTACTATGAGACAGTCAGTTATTGCCTAGGGTAGTTCAAAAATATGATGTCAGCTAGTTAAGCTTTTATTTGACTGATGTCAGTGATATTCAGAAGTGTGTACCAATCAAGGCTCTTTAAAATACAGAACGACTCAATAACCAGGGAACCAGCCAAATACTGTGCAGCCGCAGAATATGCATATCAATGAATTGGAGACGATTATTCTCTGTAACTCCCTAATGATTGTTTTCTAAGCATTGTGGCTTCTCAGTGGCTTGACAGCATCTTCCTGGTTGTATGTGGCCTGTTTACATGAAGTATTGAGTAATGTTTGTTGTGAGCATCAATGCCTGTAACATCAAACTAAACACATGTTTTTGGGATATGTTTCCAATCTTTAAATGACCTTGCCCTGTCCAATAAATGAATGATTGTCTCACCCTGTTTTTGGTGGTGTTTTTTGGGTTTTTTTTTTTTTTTTTTTTTTGGACTTTTAATCTCGTTTCTTCTACTTTTCTGTCCCCAGAAAAATGTAAGAGCTAATTTTATGACTGTATTTTTCTACTGTGATGCTGTTTTACTAAATTCAATGGATAATTTAATTGTACATGTAAAATCTTACTGCAGTTTTATGTTTTGAATAGTCAAAATAGAATATATAATCTTGATGATGTTTATAAATCATCAAATGCCCCTTGGGGTGTAAAAATGGGTTCTTGAGCAGCAATGTCTAATGATTCCATCACAAATTTGTTATAAAGTCAAACTCCCATTAAAAATGTCACTTTATACTTAATAGGAAATTGTTATGATTAAAGCATCAAGGGAGCAAATATAAAGTTTAATGAAAATCCAAGGGGAAGTTCTAAATTGCAAAAGTTGGCACTTATCTACAGTATTTTGAAAAATAACACCACCGGTATTCAAACCTACCTAGGAATATCTCAAAATAACCTGCTAATCAAGTGTTCTTAGAAAGGGGAGTGGGGGCAAGAAAGAGAATATATGCACATGGCAAAAAGATCTGATGGTACAGAAAGATATAAAATCTTGGCCCCTTCCCTCCTACCCTAATACTTCTCTCCAAAAGTAACCAGTTTCAAGTGTCTCGTATGTTTTCACAGGAAAACAATTTTTTATTTTTTATCAGCAAATTTGTAGTTTAAAAAATTTCACATTAATGGAATCAGACTATATATACTCTTCTGTACCTTGCTTTTTTTTTTTGCTACCTGTGTTTTATGAGATCTTTCTGTATCAGTATATATAGAAATACTTCATTATTTTTAGTGGCTGTGTGGTATTCTAATGTTTGAATGTATTACAAATGTTTAAACATTGATAGGCTCTTTAGGTTGTTTCCAATATTTTATTAAATCACATTGTGGTGAATATACTTGTACATATAATGAATTTATATTCTACAGGGTTCCTAGCAATAGAGTTGCTGGATCAGAGGGCATTTTTTATTTTCAGTTCAGTAGTTACTGCCAAATTGTCCTCTAGAAATCTTTGCCCAGTATGCTTCCACATATAATGTATGAGAATGATTATTTACCAAACCATGCCAATACTGGGTACTAAACTTTTGAAGTCTGATCACGTGAAAGTGAATAAATGGTATCTTGCATTTTAATGAAGTTCTAATGCATTTTAATGAAGGTCTAATATATTTTAATGAAGGAGATGGAACACATTTTCCTGTTTATTGATTACTGAGATTTCCTGTGAAATGTGTAGTCATGTTCTGTTTTCTATTAGGTGATATGTGTTTTATTGATTTGTATGAGTTTTTTGTAAGCTAAGAAAATTGGTCCATTGTCATGTTTAATAATATTTTGCTAAGTTTTATTTATGTAGTTAAACTTAAGTCTTTACGGCTTCTGAGATTTTGCCTTGCTTAGAAAGGCCACCTTTGCATTTAAGAATAAATTTAATGTATTTTTCCAATACTTTAAAGGTTTTTTTTTCAACTTTTAAATATTTGATTCATTTGGAATTTATCTAGGTAGTAGGAGTGAGGAGAGAATTCAACATTTTTCTTTCGAATAGCAATCTATTCTAACTCCATTTATTAACTTTTTCCACACTGATTAGAAAAACCATCATCCTCATTCATACATCAAATTTCCATTTGTTTGGTTAGATATGCTTCTGGGCTCTGTAGTCTGTTGCAAAAAATACCAGTCTTTTAATTATTTTCAATTGTTACACATTTTCGTCTTGGGTATTGCTAATCCATACCTCATTCTTTAGGATTTTTTTCTAGTTATTCTTGCATTTTTTTTTTTTAGATAAGCTTTCGTATCATTTTGTCCAAATCTAAAATCATATTGATATTTTCCCTGAAATTTTATTTTAAAAAATTTCAAATCTACAGAAAATATGAAAGAATAGTAGGGTGGACATTTAGGCTCACCATTTTTAACATTTTACCACTGTTGCTTTTCCTCTCTCCAAATGTGCTTTTCTTCCCCTCCTGATTCATTCGAGCTAAGTTGCAGACTTCATCACACTTCAGGACATCACTAAATATGTCAGCATGCCTTTCCTGCAAGAGTGAGGAGATTCTCCCATTTAACCACAGTTCTATTATCACAAGTAAAAAATGGATCAACCACCCAACATTTCATATTCCTATTTCCCCATGTATCCCCCAAATAGCTTTTATTGCTGTCCCCACCAAAGTTCACAAATTACATTATTCGTGTGTCTCCATAGTCTCTTTTCAAGTCTGTCTACCTCTTTTTTAAACTGGTATTTTCTAGACCAACTTTATTTTTTAGAACTGTTTTAGATTTATGGAGAAAATGGGAAGAGAGTACAGTGAATTCCCACGTACCCCACACTCAATTTCCTCTATTAACATGTTAGCATGAGGCATTTGACACAATGAGCCAATGTCAATACATTACTATTATTATTACTGGAGTGCAATGGTGTGATCTCGGCCCACTGCAACCTCTGCCTCCCAGGTTCAAGTGATTTTTCTGCCTCAGCCTCTTGAGTAGCTGGGAATACAGGCATGCACCACCATGCCCGGCTAATTTTGTATTTTTAGTAGAGACGGTGTTTCTCTATGTTAGTCAGGTTGGTCTCAAACTCCCGACCTCAGGTGATCCACCCGCCTGGGCCTCCCAAAGTGCTGGGATTACAGGCATGAGACAACGTGCCTGGCCTAATACATTATTATTAATTACAGTCTATATTCAGATTTCCTTTGGTTTTACCTAGTATCCTTTTTGTGTTCTAGGATTCCATCAAGAGGACCACATTATGTTTGGTCATCATGTCTTGGCTCCTCTTGGCTGTGACAGTTTCTTAGACTTTTCTTGTTTTTGATGATCTTGACAGTTTTCAGGAGTGCCGGTCAGGTATGTTGTAGAATCTTGCTCTACTGGGATTTGTTTGATGATTTTTCGGTTATTAAACTGGAGTTGTGTGTGTTTTTGGAGGAAGACCACTAAGGTAAAATGCTATTCTTATCATATCAAGGACGCATTTATACTGCTGATGTTAATCTTGATCACCTGGCTGAGGTAGTGTTTGTCAGGTTTCCCCACTGTAAAGTACTCTTTTTCCCCTTTCCATACTGTATTTTTTGGAAGGAAGTCACTCTGCACAGCCCACACATAAGGAGTGATATGTTATGCTTCACCTCCTTGAGGACAGAATATCTACATAACTTATTTGGAATTCTTCTGCATGGAAGATATTCTTCTTCCCCATTTATTCATTTATTTTTATGAGTTTAAACTCATACCTTGCTTTATCCTTTAATACTATATTTTGTTGAAATTGTTCCAGTTTTAGACATTGGTAGCTTTTTCAGTAAACTCCTGTGTCCCTTTGACATATTCCCATCATTGTCATTGTGGGTTTTCTATTTTTATTTTATTTTATTTTATTTTATTTTATTTTATTTTATTTTATTTTTGAGCACTTCCTTCCTGGCACTACGAAGATGTTCCGGGCTTGTGTTGTGTATTTCCTTCCCCAGTCCTGGAATCTGCCATTTCTCCAAGGAACCTGGTTCCTTTTATTGAAGAATGGTATTATAAACCAAGGTCTGGCCACTAGGTTCACTCATTGCTACTGACGTTTCATTGCCTCTAGGCCTTTTCAGCAGACAGATCAAGGAAATATATATGTTCATACTAACCTGTGCATTTATGCCTAAGTGTAAATATGTAACATCTGTATTTCTATTAAATGAAACATGAGTTCATACTGATGTTCAATCCATTACCACATAGATCATTCTAACATCTTCCCTTTGCATATCTGTAAACCTCCACTCCAACTGAGAAACCCTACTCCCACCATCCGTTCTCTTCTTGCTTCAGTTGTTTAATTACAGTATACATATAAACTGGCTTCAGAATTGTTAACCCTTTCCCCCACAAGAAACAACTAGAGCACAGTGATTATGTGGCTTTATTGGTTGTTCATTTGCCGCCATTAGTTTCACAGACTACTCATTTTGAAAGTTACTTAGGTCAGCACCTTTTCCCTCACCTCCTTCGGTGAGATTGTTTCATAAATTTGTGATAAACTTAGATTGTTTTGTCACATTCTACATTCTATTTTGGTATCCCCCTGACCTCCCAAATGGTTTTTTTAAATGTGTGTACATTAAGGTTCACTTTTTGCTTTTGGAAGTTCAGTGGGTTTTGATGGATTCATACTGTTATGTATCCACAATTGTATTATCATATAGAATAGTTTCACAGCCATAAGAATCCCTGTGCTTCACATATTTATCCCTCCCGCCCCTTCTCCTGAGCCTCTGTTAACCACTGATCTTTTTAGTGTCTCTATAGTTTTGCCTTTTCCAGAATGTCATGTGGTTGGAATCATGCAGTATGTAGTCTTTTTAGACTGGCTTCTTTCACTTAGCAATATGCATTCAGGCTTCCTCCATTTCTCTCTGTGGTTTGATAATTCATTTCTTCTTATCTCTGAATAATAGTTTTTATTGTATGAATGTTCCCACACTGTGTTTATCCATTCACCTATTGAAGGACATCTTGGTTGCTATGGATAGTGCCAGGAAGTTAAGAGGTAGTTTTGTTGTATATTATCTTTTATGAGCTCAATTTTTCAGGTCTGAGATTTCTGTCTGGTTTATCATTTTACTTTATGAAATAATAATTTCCTAGAAACTGCAGAGTACAGTGATGTCCCTGTGGGGGTGATGAAATGCATCTGTTTTGCAGCTCAACCATTTAATTTGCAAGTTTCAGAAATCATGACATCATGTGAGTTTTTTTATGTGAAACCACTTAATTTGGTTTCCAGATGCTACGTCATTTGCGATGTCCATGAGGAGAAGATGGAAGTGGTCAAACTCCACCTGATGATTCCTTGTCAAAATCTGCTCCACCAGAGGTTATGAACATTGCAGGATATGGTATTCTACCCAACTAATTGAATTATCTGTTTA